ACTGAATGCAGTCAGGGAGGGTTGACTGTAGTCCAATCTCCTCTCTTAACTCATTGATTAAGCAAAGAGCTCAGTGTTTCCATAGCCAAGACGGTAAGATCTCCCTGCTCCAGCCACTGCTTAAAACGGGACAGGCTTAGGGATGGACCAGGCAACAAGAACAGCAATGGGACGGGTGGTCGGGAGGGCCAGCGTGAGCAGATAGAGGAGGGCACCGTGGCACCGGCTCTTGGGGACTCCAGCCGCCTCCCCGTGCTGCAGGTCTACCACGAGCGTGTCAACACGCATGTAGCAGAGGCCGAGTTCGACTATGCGCGCTGTGGCGTCCGAGACGTGTCCAAGGCGCTGGTGGGGCTGGAGGGCGCGCCCGCCACGAGGCTGCGCTTCACCAAGTGCTTCAGCTTTGCCAGCGTGGAGGCTGAGAACGCGTACCTGTGCCAGCGCGCGCGCTTCTTTGCGGAGAACGAGGGCCTGGACGACTATATGGAGGCGCGCGAGGGCATGCACCTCAAGAACGTGGACTTTCGAGAGTTCATGGTGGCCTTCCCGGACCCAACCAGGCCGCCCTGGTACGCCTGCTCGTCGGCCTTCTGGGCTGCGGCGCTACTCACGTTGTCGTGGCCCCTTCGCGTGCTGGCTGAGTACCGCACGGCCTACGCGCACTACCACGTGGAGAAGCTCTTCGGTCTGGAGGGCCCGGGCTCGGCTAGCAGCGCGGGCGGCGGCCTCAGCCCCAGCGACGAGCTCCTGCCCCCGCTTACCCACCGCCTGCCGCGCGTCAACACGGTGGACAGCACGGAACTTGAATGGCACATTCGCTCCAACCAGCAGCTAGTGCCCAGCTACTCGGAGGCGGTGCTCATGGACCTGGCGGGGCTGGGCGCGCGCTGCAGCGGGGCAGCAGGCGGTGGCTTCGCTCCCACCTGCCGCTATGGCGGGGTGGGCGGCCCGGGCGCGGCGGGAGTGGCCCCTTATCGGCGCAGCTGCGAGCACTGCCAGCGCGCGGTCAGCAGCTCATCCATCTTCTCACGCAGCGCGCTGAGCATATGCGCCAGCCCGCGGGCAGGCCCTGGGCCCGGCGGAGGCGCGGGCTGCGGGGGCAGTCGCTTCTCGCTCGGCCGTCTCTACGGTTCCCGACGCAGCTGTCTGTGGCGCAGCCGGAGCGGGAGTGTCAACGAAGCGAGCTGCCCCACGGAGCAGACGCGGCTGTCGAGCCAGGCCAGCATGGGGGACGACGAAGACGACGACGAGGAGGAGGCCGGCCCGCCGCCGCCCTATCACGACGCCCTCTACTTTCCAGTCCTCATCGTCCACAGGCAGGAGGGGTGTCTGGGCCACAGCCACCGGCCGCTGCACCGCCACGGCTCCTGCGTGGAGACCTCACTGTGAACTCCGGCCCTGGGGAGGCCCACAATGTCCTCCCTCCTGCCCCTTGCCGCCTGGGCTCCCTGCGTGTAGCAGGGGGAGACACGATGACTGAGGCTGGGCGGGTTACAGCGGGAAGCGGGTAAGGGGAGAGCGCCCAGACGGTCCCAGGTGGGACTGAGACCCCTGCCTTCCCTGTACATAGAGACAGAAGGGTGGGAGGGGATCAACACCTCTCCTAAAATCCCACCCACCTGGGCAGAGTCGCTCTTCCAGCCCCACTCAAGTTCCTAAGGTGATGCCTCCTCCTCCTACACGCACATTCGAGATTTCCCGTCCAGCCTGTCAACGGGTCTCCTGACTGTTATTTGGCAACTGTGCTGTTGGGCCTCCTCTCAAGGGAGCAGCCCTGGCAGTGCAGCTGGGAGGTGTAGAGGCTGCGGGGAAGGGCAGTTGGGGCTTTCCTTCTTCCGTTTCATGGCCCCGCTGAGGCCTCTATTGAGGGGGCGGTGGTTTGGTGAACCCGAGGGCTGGCTTCCAACCAGCTAATGAATTCAGCGGGTCTGAGGCCAGGGTCAGGTGGCAGCCCCAATACTCCATCTCCACGTCGTGGAAATGTTGCTGTCCTTTTCTTGGCGCTGGCCCCAAAGCTTGGGGTTTCCTTTCTGCCACTCCCTCCGCTGTTGTTTATCTCACTGAGCCCCAGGAGCCAGATCCTGGAGGGACTGTGCTCACCACACCTACGTCACTCATCCCTGGCTCTGAAGAGCTGTTGCCAGGGTGCAGGGGGAGGGGAGGGGAGCCATAGAGGGCAGAACGCCTCAGTCCTCTCTGGAAACTCCCGCAGCCTCCCAGCAGCAACCTCCTCACCTGGGTTCTGGGCGGGTGCTCCCTTTAGAGAGACTCAGGTGCCACCCTGGCAATACTCATTAGAGCTGGCCAGGGTGAGTGACTAAGTGGAGAGACCACAAGATACTTGTGTGTCAAGCAGAAGAATTAAAGAGCAGAGGGCAGCGGAGGGTACAGTGAAAGGACCTCTAAAGATAGGGGTGCCCGGGTGGCAGCCCTTTCCTCCCCCAGAACCATGCGGAGGAGTGGAATGTGCTTGCCCCTTTTACACGCCTCTCTGGGGCTGAGGATGGTGTCATAAGTCCCAGCTGGAGAAATACTCAATTCCAGTGGCAGGGTCAGAGGCAGGAATTCTCTGAATCTTGCCTGACCACTCCATCTTCCTCTATCCCACAAGCTGAAGCCCTGCTGTGTGTTCCAGGGTCTTCAGAAGGGCATCCTGCCACCGCCCCAAGGCGCTGGCCTCCCGTCCTGTTCCCCTAAAGCTCTGACACCAACTTCTCTCCCCCTGTGCTCTTCCACTCCAGTGTGTGTCAGTGTGCATGTCTTGTACAACCCATGCCCTCCCAACTGCCCTGGCTAAGGTTTTCCCAGCAGATTTAGCGTCCCAGGGTTGAGCTCACTTTTCAGCCTAGACGGGATTCCCTGGGGCCACCCAGGCACGGCCCACCCCTGCTGCTTCTTGCTTTGCCTCAGCCATCAGATCTCCACCTCCAGCCTCTCCCATATTCCTCCAGCCCAGCCAGGCCTGCCCTATAGAGGGGTGTGGCCTCCACCTATGCAACATCACCCTGGCTCCCCTTCCCTCCTTTCCAGGAGGAAACGGGGTGGAGGGAATGGACAAATTGTGGAGACACCATAGCCCATGGCTCATCAAGGAGTTGAACTTTCCAATCACATAGATAGCTGAGAGGAGGAGGGAGGGGACATCAGAGAGGGAGAGGTTTGGGCAGAAGGGAACAGCTGCCCACTGGGTTTTCCTGGGCAGCAGTGCTCACCTGCCTGCCAGTATGAAAACTGCCTGGACCCTGAGTCTGTGCTTATCAGGGATCTGGAAGCAGGAACACCCTTCTTTCCTCTGAATTGACATCTGTGAGGTACAGGTGGTGAGTTGTGGCCTCAGGCCCCAGTTCTTGGCCTGGCACATGGATGTCCTGTCCTCATATGGGGTCATCCTGGCCACCTTGTGGCTCCAAGGCTGGAGGAACTTGGCTTCTCCCTCAGGCCCAGTCCTGAGGCCACAGCCTAGCCTCAGAAGACGGGAAGAGGAGCCCCTGTTATACTTTTCCCCTGAATGGATCATTTCTGCCTAGGTCATCTTAGACAGACTCAGCTCCCACACACGCACAGACTTAGAGAGAAACCAATTCTTTGGTCTATTTTCTTGGTGACTTTATTGATTGCCAGGGAAAACGAAAACCAGAAAATTAATCTCTAAAATTAAACTTTACACTGAATGTTCTTGTTTCTCTAATTAGAACCTCTGCTAGCAGCTGTGGCTACACACACACCTACCCTCACACCTACACGTTTGCACTCCGGAACTGTCAGAGGGTGTCAGGCATGGAAGGACTTTAGGTGGCCCAGACAGGCACATGCTGCAGTCACTCCCAAGCCCCCTTTGGTGCTCTGCTCAGCGCCTGTTTGTTAGAAGTCTCTAGAAGGCAGGCACTCCTGGATTGTGGTTGTAGCCCATGGCCCGCCCTATGGGGACATGGGTTTGGAGGCTCTGGGCCACTCAGCCCAAAGAGAATGGAGGATGAAGCTCAGCCTGAATCCATCAGTCAGGTCCTCTTGTGGCCCCATGGGCTGATGTGATTCCTGTGGGTTTGGTCCCAGGTTGGGCAGCCACAGAGTGCTGGGGATTCATGGAGAGCACCTGGAAGGCTCCATGGTCCTGGGGACAAGGGCTTGTGGGGTGGGCTGGGCCTGGCTGGGGAGAAGACAGGTCTCTGTCAATTGGGTGCATCACACTGTGGCCTTTCTGTTGTGGATATCCAAGCGCAAAGATTGTACAAATCAAACTGGTGGATAATAAAGTTGCGGATGACTCACTGATCTCTCTTTCCCAGTGTGCGCTGCTTCCCTATCTCCTTTGTCCTGCAAGAAGCTCCCTGGGGTGGATGGCAGGAGTAATACCACACTTCCTCAGCAGTCATTCTCTACGATTGCCTCCTCAAGGGAGGTCTGAGCTCCTGTCACCCACTGTCCCTTTCTCAAATTGAGAGTTGGGGATTAGGGGATGGTGTGACCTATAGAATGTGACCAACATGACCTTATAGAATCAGGCAACAGGAAGGTGGCAGAAAGAGCCAGGCATGATTCTACTGTAGCCAGAGGGGAGAGAGAGAGGGAGAAGGAGAAGGAGAGAGTGAGAGAGAGGAAGAGGGAGAGAATGTGTATATGTACTTGAAGGTTAAGGATCTGCGCAGTAGAGAGGAATATGGGAGTGGTGAGCCAGGGAGGTGGGCAGCCCTCACAGGAGAAAACCTGTCTGATCAGGTACAGTCCTCAGAGTCTTCTCTGCCTTACCTATTGCTGGAAGGAGTTGGTCATTTGTGGGGTCCAGTAATCCTTTTTCTGGGTCCCAAAACTAGGTGTCTGCTTTATACTGCTTCTTTCCCTATCTCAGTTCCCCTTCCCCACCTCCCATCGGTTTGCCTATGACCCTCTATCACATACTTCAAGGACTGGTCTCCCCTCCCCCTTCCTCTGAACCACTGTGACATTCTGCAGCAGAGTGCCCAGCAAAAGCATGAAATTCCCGATGGAGCTGAGGTAAAGACCCAAGTCAGGTCCCTGTCCCCACTCTTATTCCACAGAATGATCAGGGTCATTGGCAATGATGGGAGACGTCAAATAGCCAGGATTCAAGGTCCGCTGACGGGCAGCTTCCCGGTTGGCACAGAGGGCCTGGCCAATGAGGTACTCGCTCTCCTGGGCTACATCTGATAGGCGGAGGTCAAATTCCAGGAGGGTCTTGTTGTCTGACATGCCTTCCAGGAGCTGCTTGCCACCATCCTGGGACAGTAGGAAAAGGGAAGGGTCACTTTTCATTATCACCCAGGATCACGTGCACACACATATTTTAATATGGATATGTCTAAAACAATTTCACAAAACCATACTTAACCTATCTATGCATGCTGACCCGTTCTGTCCCATTCTACTTGAAAAATGGTGGTCAAGATCCCTAAATTTATTTTTCAGTCTCAGTGGTTTGAAAAACTTGGATGTCTAGCATCTGGGTAGGTCTTGGAATGTGGGACTATTCTGTCTAGGGAGATGTGAGGGGGAATTTGGGCAGGGTGACAAAAATAAAAAAAGGAGACAGGAACAGTGTTCTCCCCTTCACTGCCTCTGGGCATGTCCCCATATGAGATGTCAAAACTTCAGCTGCCATCTTGGGAGCACCAGAGAGGCCATGGCCATGGGACTGGCACTGAATGGAGAGATTTGTCAGCTCCAGGATCCCCACTCTGGGGCTTCTGGTTATGTGAGATCCTAAATATTCCTCCTGTTTAAGTCACTTCCTGGCTCAGTTTTCTGTTACTTGCAGCCAAGAGCATATCTATGGTGCACATGGTGCATGCCTGACAGGCATAGTGGGCGAGAGTGCAAGGTTGTTCTCATGGAAGGTGTGAAAGAATGACACCTTGGAAGGTAGAATATTGCTGTTCTGTGGTTGTATCCCAATAGTGTGTTGTGAAGTCAATTTAATGGGTCACAGAAGCATTTAAAAAAATGAAATAAAACAGAATCCGAAGAAAAATAGGATAAATCACAGACAGTAAATGTAAATTTCAATGATATTATGTTTATGTGCATGTCCACTGGGTGTTCACATAACTTTGATTTCCATTTTCTTTTTGGTACTGGGGATTAAACCCAGAGATGCTGAGCTATATATATCTCTAGTCCTTTTTCAATTTTTATTTTGAGACAGAGTCTAGCTGAGTTGCTGAGACTGACCTGAAATTTGCAATCCTCCTGCCTCAGCCTCCCAAGTCACTGAAATTACAGGCATGTGCCACCAAACCTGGCTGTAACTTGTATTTTTTTTAGTTGTATATGACTCAATACCTTTATTTTTATGTATTTATTTTTTATGTGGTGCTGAAGATCAAACCTAGTGCCTCATATGTTCCAGGAAAGCACTCTGTCACTGAGCCACAACCCCAGCCCTGTAACTTGTATTTTTTATTCCAGGACTTGGTCAAGGAAGTTTGAGAATCACTGTCAGAAAGGACTCAGGCTGGGTTGGGAATATAGTGGTAGGCTTGAACCCCAGCTTTGTCAAAACAGAGCAAAATAAAAAAAAGAAAACAAAACAACCCCCCATTTGATTGTATAGATTTAAAGATTAAAGGAAAAATATTGGATATTATTGCATACGCATATATTATAGCATAGTATGTATGCATATTCAGTGCAGAGTGTAGTAACTCAAGCTGTGATTTCTTCTTCTTCTTCTTCTTTTTTTTTTTTTTTTTTTTTTTTGCAGTGCTGGGGATCAAACCAGGGCATCATTCATGCTAGGCAAATGCCCCACCACTGAGTCATACCACCCGCCCCCATCTATAACCTCTCGATACTTGTCCTGCAAGGGTCCCATGGCAGTTGGGTTTTGTTTTGTCTTTTTAGTGATAAAGGCAACCCAGGGTTGCTTTATCACTAAGTCACACCCCCAGCCCTTCATATTTTTTAGAGACAGGGTCTTGCTAAATTGCTTAGGGCCTAGCCGTGTTGCTGAGGCTGGCCTTGAACTCGTAATCCTCTTGCCTCAGCCTCCTGAGTTGCTAGGATTACAGGCCTGCACCACTGTGCCCGGTTTCCCATGGTAAGTGGATTCCACACTCACCCTCTGCCTGCCCCCAAAGAGAGGACTCACCAGCCCGATGTGGTTGCAGGACAGGTTGATGCTGGTGAGCGTAGTGTTGATGGCAAGCACCTGGGCGAGGAGCGTGGCTGTGGGCTCGGACAACTCATTGCCACCAAGGTTCAGTGTGGTAAGGCACTTGTTGGTCTGCAAGGCATGGGCAAGTGCCTGGCCGCCCTCATCTTCGAGGCAGTTGAGGCGTAGGTTGAGGGAAATGAGGTTGGTGTTGTGTGCCAGGGCGTGAGCCAACGACTGCGCGCCCGGCCCACGTACTTGGTTGTTGGCCAGGTTAAGCACGCGCAGGCGGCTGTGGCTGAGCAGCTTTGCAGCAGCATGTGCACCACGGTCCCCAATGAGGTTGTGCGACAGGTCCAGCTCCCTGAGGGCTGGGTGGTCAAGCAGGCTGCGGATCAGGATGCGGGCCTTCTCATCATCCACCTTGCTTCGAGTCAGCCTGAAGATCTGAGGGTAGGTGGAGGGTCTATAGCACCTGCCAACAGGGCAGGCTGCCCACCTACTCCCCTTTTGCAGGTAGAGAAGGTACCAAAGGTAGCTATGAGGAGGTCTGAGACTCTGTTCCACTGGTATTGGCCACCCAGCTGGTTCTTGGACAGGACAGGTCTACCCAGTGGTACAGAATTGGTGGTAGGTGGCAGAGGGACATGTTATTCCTTTTTTTTCTTTTTCCCAGTAGTGGGGATTGAACCTACTGGTGCTCTACCACTGAGCTACATCCCCATCCCCCCCTTTTTAATCCCCATCCCTTTGTTAACTTTCTTTTTTATTTTTGCGCGGGGTGGGGTGGGGGCTCTTAAGCACTGATCCACATCCCCAGCCCTTTCTTACATTTTAGTTAGAGACAGGGTCTCACTAAGTTGCTTAGGGCTTTGCTAAGTTGCTCAGGCTGGCTTTGAACTCGTGGTCCCTCCTGCTTCAGCCTTCCAAGCTGCTGGGATTACAGGTGTGCACCACGGCCTGGGCTGCTTTGTTTTGTTTTACTGCTGGGAATGGAACCTAGGGCCTGGCTCTTGCTAGACACATGCTCTACCATTGAACTACACTGCCAACCCTAAGGACAGGAACTCTTGAAAGAGGTTAGCTGGGGAGACAGGAAGTGGGGAGGGAGGATGAGAAACAGAAAACAATGGAATGAAAAAATAAAAGGTACAACCCGAGATATGAAAAATTGTTCTGTATTTGTGTAATAAGAATTGTAATGCATTCCGCTGTTGCTTTTTTTTTTAATCAATAAAAAAATAAGAAAAGGAAGATGGTGGGGATAGCATTATGAATGTTGTACATAGGAGCTTGTCCCCTCTGCTTCCCACTGGCTGTTCCCTATCCTCTGACTCCCTTCAGACTTCTCTGTGGCTGGCCTCTCTCTCCTTTCCCTTTAATTCTTTCCTTCCTTTACTGCCCTCTTAGCCAGGTCAAAGCCTGGTGAAAGTCCTCTTGTATTTTTATTGCATTTACCTGATGAAGCCCAGAATCTGGATCAGCCTTGCTCTCTATTTTCTGCATGCCTTATGCCTAGTCAACAAACAGGATGGAAAACATCACCTGATGGGACTGATTGGTATCATTGGCACCACCAGCAGGCCTTCAGTGCTGTGTACCTATGCAACTTTACTTCTCTGGACAACAAACTCTTTCATAATATACAATGACTATTTTATTTTATTTTACTTATAAATATTGTTTGGTATCAGGGATTGAACTCAGAGGCTCTCTACCATTGAGCTGCATCCCCAACACTTTTTATTTTGAGACAAGATCTCAATAAGTTGCCCAGGCTGGCCTTGAATTCGTGATCCTCCTGCCTCAGCCTCTTGAGTTCTTGGGTTACAGGCATAAGTCACAATACCCAGCTTTACAACAATTATTGTTGTTGTTGTTATTATTATTATTATTATTAGGTACCAGGGGACTGAACCCAGGGGCATTTTACCACTGAGCTACAGCCCAGATGTTTTTGAGTTGCTCAGGCCTCACTAAATTGCTGAGGCTGGCCTTGAACTTGCTGTCCTCCATCCTCAGCCTCCTAAATCCCTGGAATTACAGGCATGCACCATCGTGCCTGGCTACAATAACTATTTTAACCTTTTCCAACCTCAGACTCCAAGGGGCCTCCCTATAGAACTCCCTTTCAGCTTGTGGACTCTCCTGACTTCTCAGCAACTGAATGGGATCCCATTTCTGATATCAAACACACACCCACTGCTCCTCACCACATCCCCACTTCCACTGCCCAAGGCCAACTGCCTCACATCAGTGCTAGATCCCACTGTTCTTGCCTTTTCAAGAACTTTCCCTGATCCATGGACCTGGACTTCTCCTCCCCCTCCCCCTCCCCCTGAAGCTGTTTTTTTTTTTTTTTGGGGGGGGGGGGGTACCAGGGATTGAACTCAGGGGCACTCAACCTGAGCCATATCCTCAGGGTCTCACTGAGTTGTTTAGCACCTCGCTGTTGCCGAGGCTGGCTTTGAATTTGTGATCCTCCTGCCTCAGCCTCCCAAGCCGCTGGGATTACAGGCGTTCGCCATCTTGCCTGGTCCTCCAGCTGTTTTTAAGTTGCTTAGGGCCTCACTAAATTGCTGAGGCTGGCCTCAAACTTGCTATCCTCTATCCTCAGCTTCCTAAGCTCCTCCTCTTTCCTCTCCCCCTCCTCCCCTTCTTTTTCTCCTCCTCTTCCTTATTCTTCCTCTAAAACTATCTTTTTTACTTTTTCTACATTTTTTAAATTGGTGCATTATAGTTGCACACACACAATGGTGGGATTTGTAGTTACACAGTCCTACTGGTACCTTTCTTCTGCATTTGCCCCTTTTATGCAGGTGGATGGGGCCTTGCTTTCATTCTAAACATGCAAGTTTCTTAAGAAAACCCAACGCCCTCATCTATCACCTCTCTCCTCATCTCTGCTTCCCAGATGAGTTCTCCAAGAAGCTGGTCTCAGCCGCCCCCTTTCTCACTTCCCACTCTCCCCATGAACCACGCTCACAGCTTGTGCTCCTGGAATGCCTCTGAACCTCCTCTCAGGGACGTCCAGGTTTGCAAAGGCCAGTCCTTGGCTGCACCCTACCCCATTGCTCACTCCCTCTACTTGAAACACGTGCCTCTGTCGCTCCGTGACACAATGCCATCTCCCCCTCTGCCTGCCTGCAAGCTCTTGCCATCAACACCACATGCCAAGTCTCTCTCCTTCCCTCACACTTGGTTCTCCCTTATGAGACTCCATCCAAATGCAGGCCTTCACGGGCCATGTTGATAACACGGCACCTGTTTCCATGTTCAATTCAGACTCTTCAGCTGAGTGTCGGACCCTCTACCCAACTAACAAGATGACCCCTGCTCTAGGATGTCTCACACTGGAACTCAAAACAGGGGTCCCCCTCAAGACAGCGGTCCCGGATCCCCTGTCTCTGCCGCAGCCCCCTCAAATCATCTGGTCTCACGAGCAAGAATCCTTGATGTCTCCTGCTGCTTCCTTCTCTTCCACATCCTTCTGAGGCCACCCTAACCCTAATCCTAACTCTAACCCTACTGATCATACTGCCTCCGTACCTCTTGAGTCTCCCCACCTCTGCAGACACCTCCATGGTTCAAACTACCCTCATCTCATCTGTGTTTGGCAGTGGTCTCCCAGGTCACCTGCCATGTCCACTGTTGCCCTTCCCATTCTCCTTCCCAAACATGGTCATCTTTTCATCTTTTCCAATAACATGACCATCCTTTTGACTGACACCCTTGGATGGTGCTATGGTTTGTCCTCCAAAGGATCACTGTGTTGGAGACTTCATCACTAGTGTAGTGAACCTTTAAGAGGCGGAGCCTAGTGGATGGTGGTGGAGTCACCAAGGGTGCTTCCCTCAGAAGAGATTAATGTAGTTCTCCTGGGACCCCATAAGAGCAGGTTGTTATAAAGTGAGATCATCCCATGCACTTGGTTTCTTCCTTACCTGTTTCCCTTCCTGCTTCTCTACCACATTGTGGAGAGGAAAAACAACGGGTGGTGTCATGCTGTATGGACCCTTCAGCCACCAAAATTGTGAACCCAATACACTTTTTCCCCACCCCCATGCATACCAGGCAAGCACTCAGCCACTGAGCTATATCCTCAGCCTCCACCTCTTTTCTTCATAGTATACCCAGCCTCAGATATTTTGGTATAGCAACAGAAAGCTGACTGATCCAGATGGTGCCCCAGAGCTCTTCAGGATAAAGATAGATTCCTTGACAAGGCCTCCTTCCCCCAGTGATTCCGGCTGCTGATTGGCTCTCCCTTTTTATCCCATCCCTGTTCCCCCATATTCATGGCTCCAGCCACACGGCCTTCTCTTCAGGCCCTGGAATTAGCTGTGTATTGACCATACCCAGGGGCTTGTATGTGCTGCTCCCTCTGCCCGGAGTGAGCTTGTCTCTTTCCTCAAGACTCTAACTCCCACTCTTCCTTATAATCTCTACACAAGTGACACTTTCTCAGGGTAGCCTTCCTGGGCAAGGTCAAATGTCCCTTTTATAATCTCTCATAAGAATGTCTTTTCTGTGGGCTGAGGCTATAGCTCAGTGATAGAGCACTTGCCTAGCATGTGTGAGGCACAGGGTTCAATCCTCAGCACCACATTAAATAAATAAATAAATAAATATTTTTTTTAAGAATGCTTTTTTTTTTTAAAAGCATGCATTTCATCCCAGTTTAGGGTTACCAGAGGCAATACAAGATGGCCCGGTGCGGGTAGCTCAGTGGTAGAGCAGGTGTTTAGTGGGCAAGAGACCTTGGGTTTGATTTCTAACAGTCCAACAGTCCAACAAACAAACAAACAAACAAACAAGGCAAACAAAAAGCACTAAAAGAGGATGCCCTGTTCAGTTTAAATTTCAGATGAACGAGTATGTCCCATGGAATATTTGGGACATAACTTCTAAAAAATTTGTTATTTTTCCGAAATTCAGATTTAACTGGACATCCTGTATTTCTAGTCGCTAAATTTGGCAACCCTTTGTCTAGTTACAATTTTACATTTATATGATTGCTCATTAGTGCCATTCATCCCTCCAGACTGTTAGCTGCAGAGGGCACAAATAGTATAATTTTGCTCTCTAGATCTTCAGCACCTGGGACAGGGCCTGGAGCACAGATGTTTGTAGGATGACTAACTGGCTGGCGAACTGAGCCTCCTTCATCTACATACCCTGAAGCTAGTCGCTTGGTGCAGGATGCATTTTAAAAAACAGTCAAGTCTGGGTCTGGGGGTCTGCGCCCGTGCTTAGTATGCCTATGTGAGGCCCTGGGTCCAATCCCCAGCACCCCAACAAAACCCCCCAAACTCCTAGGTGGATGCATGAAAAAAAAAAAAAAAAACTGGAAAGAAGCAGATGGGAGTAGAGAAGGGAGAGGAGGGAATCCGGAAGACGCTGGGGAGAGAAGGTGGGGCTACGCAGGGGGCAAATGGTACCTTAAGGGTGTGGCATGCCTTGATGGTGGCCGCCAAGGAGTGACAGTCTCGGTAGGTGAAAAGGAAGAGGTTCCACTCGAAGTTCATGCCACAGTCTTTGACACCGTACACCAGGTCCAGCTCCTCCAGGTGGATCAGGCCGGCCACCAGATCGCCCAGATGGTAATGGTCCATGGTGGGCTCCTCCGACTCCACCTCGCTTTCCGACTCGGACGGCTCCCGGGTCAGCGGCGAGGTTGGGAGCTGCACCGGTGGAAGGAACTGATCCACACGGATCCTGCGCACGTAGTTCCTGCAGAGGGGCAGCAAGTCGAGGATGACGCTGGGGTCCGTGGTACCCGGGATGAAGTGCTTCAGCAAGTTCTCCAAGTGCCTCTCGAAGAACATGTGTTTCCAGCTGCCGCCATGCTTGGCCACGTGGCACACCGGCCAGCGCTTCGTGCAGCAGCGACGCCAGTAGTTCTCATCTTCGATCAAGTTGGCCGTCACAGCCAGCGGCAGGTCAGGGGACAGGTGGTTCAAGACCTTCTGCTGGTGCTCTGGGAGCAGCTGCTTCAGGATAGGGTTTTCTTGGGGAGAAGAGGAAGGAAAACAGGGGATAGGTCTCAGTGTTGGGGATATGACAACATGGTTCCCTGGGGTTGGCTTTCCTGGGGGCACTGAGGAAAGGAAAGACCCTTTTTGCCCTTGGGGAGCTCCACTCCGAAAGGAGAGACAGCCTTTGCTCTAGGAGGCTCAATGGGAGGGGAGATGAGAAGTCATAGCCCGAGAATATTCCCTGGCTGCAGCTCAGTATCTGGGCTCAGGGAACCCCGGTCCAGGATAAATCTCCACTCCAATCCTCCATGAAAACCTCCTCAGATGGAGGAGATAACCCCTGACTCCCAGTCTGACCCGATTCATTTATTTGAAAACAAATATATTTGCTTTAACACCTACTATGTGCCAGACACTTTCTAAGCGCTGGAAATATAAACATGTAGGAGACAGATGAAGCCACTCCCCCTCAGAGTTGACATTCCAGCCAGCAGAGGGCCACAGTAAATGAGGTCAGGTGGCAGTAGTTGCTGGAGGCAAATGATGGTCCTGTCCTCAGAGAGCCCCCCTGCTATGGGAGGGGCTGGCAGTAGTCTTTGGAAAGTGTTAACGTTTTGGGATCAGAGAGTACCGAACAAATGAGGAGGAACCCACACAAACCAGGGAGACTCCATCTGGGAGGAGGGGTTAACCAGGGAGGGCCTTCCAGAGGAGGAGGTGAATTTGGTTCAGGTCAGGTTTTGCTGGAGAGTGTGGACAAGACTGGGAAAGGACGCAGGGGTGGGGGTTTGCTGTGTGTGGGGGTGGTTGCTGTGGAGGGGGTGGGGTTGCTGTGGGGAGGTGGGGGGTTGCTGTGTGGGTGGAAGTCTGGTGGGGCCCGAAAGTGAGGCAGCACCAGACATTGTCTTGGTGCGTGGTGAAAGGGAAGTCCCCAGCAGCTAGGAGGATGCTACCAGGGGGTGCAGGCTGCCCCAGGACCTTGTTTCTGGGGTCTCCACACCAGGAAGCCTCCACTCCTGCCTCCCTCCTGGTCTGCTCCTGCCCTCCCAAGCCCAAGCTGGGCAGGCTCACTCTCGAAGTTCTTGATGATGTGCTGAATGCAGAGCTCTGTGAGGAGGGGCACAATGGCCAGTGACCACTCAGCATCCTCAGCGATGATCCGGCGCATGTGACGCACATTTGTGGGCTTGCTCTTTGCTGGGAGTGGGCCTGAGGAGGACACAGTCTTCGAAGGCTGTGGGCCTGAGGAGGACACGGTCTTCGAAGGCTGTGGGCCTATGTTTGAAATCTGGCTTGCAGTGGGCGGCGGGCCCTGGTTGGAGACTGTGGACCGGCTGGGGACGGACACTAATGGTGGTGTTAGGGTGCCCTGCATGCTGGGGCCTGGCAAGGAAGGAACACGAAGCCCCTTGGTGACCTTGCAACAGGAAACTTCTCAGACTGGCTGGTCCTTGGTTCAGATGGGGACCTAGAGCAAAAGAATGGGGGGAGGGGTACAGGTGTTACTTTGGAGGATCTCAGCAGAGTGGTGCTTAGCTGTCAGGGTCTGGAGTGGAGTAGATCCAGGTATAAATCCCAGTGTGGCCTTGAGCCAATTACTGGACCTCTCTGAGTTTCAGAGAGGTTAAATGAAATTTTATCCTGTGAAATAAGGGTTACAGGACCAATAGGATTATTTGGAGGAGTAAATATACAAAGAGGTATTGTATATTGTCTAATACATGGAACTGTAGCAAGGAGCAGCCCAAATTTTTAGATAATAGTAGTTACACAGGAATTACAGTCATTGCTATACACCCACTCTTTTAGTTTTTTTTTTTTTTTTTTTGGTACAGGGGATTGAACCCAGGGGCTCTTATCCATTGAGCCAAATCCTAGCACCCCCCTTTAAAATACATTTTATTTAGAGACAGGGTCTTGCTGAGTTGCTTAGGGCTTTGCTAAGTTGCTAAGGCTGCCTTTGAATTTGTGATCTTCCTGCCTCAGCCTCCTGAGCTGCTGGGATTACAGGTGTGTGACACCGTGCCCAGCTTCAGTTTTTTTATGTATATTAACTCATCCTTACAAAAGTTTTCTAGGTATAGGTACTTGTATTTTCCCCATGATTCTAATGAGAAACTGAGGTACAGAGAAGCTAATTGATTTGTTCAATGTCACACAGTTTATAAATAATTAATTCATTTTATTAAGTTCATATTCTGAACCCTACATGTACTGTGCCTCCGAAGGTGAGGGGATTCAGTATGTATTGCTAAAAGACAGAGGTTTGCGAAAGAGCCATTTAGTTCAGAACAGCTCTGTGCATTAAACATTGTGCAGAAAGAACAGCAACTGCCTGACCCTGAGGACTGGGTTGAGAATAGTATGACCAACAGAAATACAAGGTGACCCCAAATGCAAGCCATGTTTGCTATTTTAAATTTTCTAATACCCCTATTCAAAAAGTAAAGAGGGCTGGGCTGAGGTTGTGGCTCAGTGGCAGAGCGCTTGCCTCACACATGTGAGGCACTGGTTCTATCCTCAGCACTACATAAAAGATAAATAAACAAAATAAAGATATTACGTCCATGTATTATATATATATATATATATATATATATATATATGTGTGTGTGTGTGTGTGTGTGTGTGTGTGTAAAGAGGGTTGGAGGTGTAGCTCAGTGGTTGAGTGCTTGCCTAGTATCCACAGCATGGCAAAAAAAAAAAAAGTTTAAAAAAAAGGTGAAATTAATCTTGCATTTAAATCAGTATGTCCACGATTTTGCCATTTAAATATGTAATCAACAAAACTATTAAAAATATGTTTTTAGCCCGTGCTGTGGTGTACATTTGTAATCCCAGTGGCTCGGGAGGCTGAGGCAGGAGGATCACAAGTTCAAAGCCAGCCTCAGCAACAGCAAGGGGCTAGGCAACTCAGTGAGACCCTGTCTCTAAATAAAATACAAAATAGGGCTGGGGGTGTGGCTCAGTGGTGGAGTGCCCCTGAGTTCAATCCCTGGCACCTCCCCCCCCATTTGTTTTTATACCCAGTTTTCAGAATCTGATACTCCATAGGAGCACTGAGTGTCTGAGACCGTTGAGGGCAGGGCAGGGCGGGTTGAGACAGGAGAGAGGACCCGCACACACGCCTGCCCAGGCCGCCAGGCTCTCCACCTCCTCCCTGCCAGGGGCTCCAGCTCTGGCCCCTCCCTTCAGCCTCCGCCCAGTCTTCTGGTTCTCCAGACAGCAGTGGGCTGGCGTGGGAGGGGAGAAGGCAGCTAAATCTGGGGCTGAAGACAGAAGGCGTTCGCCCACTCCTCCAACATTGCTGCGGGGCGCCCCTGTCCTGAGACCTGCAGGTGGAGACCAGCTGCCCCGGCGCTGGCTGCTCCTCGGGCAGTTCCCCCTCCGGTGGCGCCCTGACCCAGTGCACTGTGCAGCGTCCGGCGGGAAGGAACATTCTGATCCAACAAACGCGTCCTTGGCAGAGGGAGGAACCAGATGGTGCTCCCCAAGCCTGCCAGGCATCTCAAGGAGGAAAAGCCTGGCTGAGAGGGGGTTGGGGACAGGGCCAGTGTAGGGAAGATATTTATGCACTGTGACACCCCTCAGGGCAGATCAAATGCAAATTCCCAGATTGGGTCCATCCAGCCTTTTGGCTAATGGCTTCTCAGACAGAGGGTGGGGGCTGGAAGCAGGTGTTGTGTGGATGCACGGGTCTGACTTTGCATTTCTGGCTTTGCTGATTGCTATGTAACCTTGGCCAAGTTACTTACCCTATCTGAACTTCAGTTTTCCTTATCTGTAAAATGGGATACTAATATCTTCCTAAGAAGACTACTGTAGAGATTCCTCTGTGATAATATTTGCTTAATATTGATGAAAATTGAAAAGGGTGCTGGAGGGGTGTTAGAGGCACTATGGAAGGCAGGGATGCTGACCTGGCACCTTTGAATGAGTGCCCTTTTCTATTTCCAGGGAGAGGTGAAGGACAAGGGGCAGTGGTGGTATTGGGGGCTAGATGCAAGCAGGAGAGAGGTAATGGAAGGGAGTCACAGGTGACAGGTTAACAGGTCAGCCCCGCTACTGCCAGCCCTGCATCTGGACTCCTGGGCTCTTTCTAAGGTTCTAGCTTAAAACATTCTGTCGTTCCCCTTGTCTGGGACATTTCTCAGCCAAGCAGGACTGGGCTGGGCAGAGGAAACGCTGGGGTTACTTGTAGGCATTGTCTTGGGGGAGGCGCTTCTGTCATTACTCACAATGCCACCCGGCCTCACTACTCTGGGAGGCAGGACTTGCTCCTTCCTCCTGGGGGCCACACCTCGAGCAATCCTACCTGGGCCAGGTGAGATGCCCTTGGGGACAGGACAGCCCTAGGCTTAGGGCCTGTAGCCCACTCTCTCAGGAATGGGCAGCTTTTCCTAAGGCCTGGTCCTGACAACTCTCGCTGTTGTTGGGGGGCTGTAGTCTGCCCCTGCTGTGGCATGGCGCAAGGGACCCACCATGGCTCCTCAGGGCGCTGGCCAACTCTTCAGAAGGAAGGGGCAGAGCCTGACTCTGGGAGGCTGCCACCTGCAGGGCTGGAATAGAAATAGGCCCTGCCACCTTCCGTGTTTACAGAAACAGCAAGGCCACCGGGTTCTGATGTCATTTTAAGGCAAATGTTGAAGACATTAACTGCATAATAATTTTCACTTGATCAACTCTTTTAAAAATTAGACTTTATGAAAATATTTTTGGCAGATACCTTATTATCAGACACAGAGGATTTTTCTAAGCAAGATTTTAGTTTTTAAATGTTTCCAAATATTTTTTAAAAATATATGTATACATGGGTTGGGATTGTGGCTCAGTGGTAGAGCGCTTGCCTAGCACAGGTGGGACCTGGATTCAATCCTCAGCACCACATACAAATAAAGGCATTGTGTTGTGTCATCTACACCTAAAAAATAAATATTAAAAAATATAAATGTATACACATATTTGTTACTGGAGATTGAACCCAGGGGTGCTTAATCACTGAGCCACATCCCAGTCCTTTTTTAAAAAAATATTTATTTTTTAGTTTCAGGTGGACACAATGTCTTTATTTTATTTTTATGTGGTGTTGAGGATTGAACCCAATACCCCATGCATGACAGGCAAGCACTCTACCACTGAGCCACAACATCAGCACCCCAAGTCCTTTATATGTTTTATTTAGAAAGGGTCTTACAAGTAGTTGCTTAGGGCGTGGATAAATTGCTAAGTTGGCCTCAAACTTTCGATCCTCCTGCCTCAGCCTCCTGAGCCACTGGGGTTACAGGTGCACAACACTGTGCCCAGCTTTAAAATCTTTTTAAAAAACTAATAGTAGAGCATATATATATATATGTGTGTGTGTGTGTGTGTGTGTATATATATATATATATATATATATATATATACACATACTTAAAAGGGTAATGAGCAAAACCAACTCCTTGCCTTGCAGTGGCTCTTGTAAAGCCAGTATGAAGCACAGCTCCTGCCTTGGCTGCCCTTGGTCACCACCACCTGGCTCTCCCACTGCTCTGACAGTTCACTTCAGAAGTCTCCATCACAGCTTTCTGGCGCTCAGCCCCCGGCCCCCCCCCCCCCCCGGCTGAGGGCCCTCAGGTTTCTGCCATCCTCACTCCTTTTACGGGTCCCAGCTCTCATCCCTCCTCTGAATTCCAGGCTCAGGCTGGGAAGCTTCCCAGCTCCTTTAGGTTCGACCCATCTAGATACCAGAACTGGCGCCAGCCTCCTGCAGGCCCCACATCTGGTTACTGACTCTACCCCGCCTCTGTCACCAGCATCTCTGAGCCTTTCCTGCTGCTGCCTCCGCTCAGGGACTCCTTGTCCAACACATCATAACTTCAGATGTTGGGCACCTGGCCTCTGGCACCAGGGTGGTGCTCTTACATCTAGCCCTGACCCAGGTCTCTGTGCAAGGCTTCCGTGTCTCATGCTGCCCTCAGGCGGAAGTCAGCCTCGTCAGCTCCTTTCCCTGCACACTGGGTGCTCTCTGAAATAAACTGCCCCCCCCCCCCAGTTGGTACTTGGGATCCAACCCAGGGACACTTTACCACTGAGCTACACCTGCAGCCCCTTTTGTTTTTTATTTTGAGATAAGTTGCCCAGGCTGGCCTCAAACTTTCCATCCTCCTGCCTCAGTCCCCAGTGTCGTTGGGATTACAGAAGTGCACCACCACACCTGGC